TCAAATAAAAATCAACCACGTGTGCAAAGTAATGTAGTGAGATCAATTCAAGGGCAGGCAGATGCCTTAAGGACACGAAAACCCAAAGACACATAAGGTTTCCTCAGTTTTCTAAACACTTCTCAGAGAGTCTAGGACGTGTGGAGCATAGAGTGTAGGGGCAGCTGACCAGGTTTGGTGTGTAGTTTTGGGTGGATAGTTATTCCTCTGGGACACATTTCACAGCACTCTCCCTGTTTTCGGAGAACAAATTTGTCTGTGGGTGGTCACTAGCTCAAGTGTCCTTCATTCACATTTTGCATTAGACATTACCAGAACTGTGCAGTCAACCCTAACTCTGCCACCGTGTGTGTGAGTGCTGTTTGTGTGTGTGTGAGTCTTTATCCAGATTCTTTGTTCATAATTTCAGAGTTTGACTTCCCGAAATCAAAGCCTCTTCAACAGATGGTCCCCGAGAATGTGAGTTGCATGAAAAGTTTTCTTATCGCTGTACCCCCAGAACTTAGCCCCCTGCCCAGCATAGTAGATGCTCAAGAAATACTTGTTGGCTGAGTAAACAAGGGAGGGAGTGTGGTGCAGTGAATTACTTAATATGGCCCTTTAAGCCATTCATGGTCTTGTAACTCCCACACAATGACTGGATGAAACTATGCCAATAAGGTGCTGTGGCCCACCAAGGGAATTAGATAGCTTGCTAATAATCCAAATAGGTGAATGGAACCTCCGTGGGGTGGGACTGTCCAATCAGGTGTATGGACCCCTAAAGATGGGATGGTCAGTTTTGCCATCCTGCTAGGCTTAAAAGAGAGCAAAGAGGGAACCTTATGGTCATCAAGAAAGAAAAACTAGAAGTAGAACCTGTCCTTTGGACCCTGGGTTCCTGTGCTCCTAGACACAGGAGATAGAGAGACAAAGAGAGACCCCGCGCACACACACACACACACAGAGCGAGAGAGAGCGAGCTGTAACACTGGAGACAGCATGAGATGGCAAGAAGCAGACAGAGAAATTGTGGCAGCAGAACCAGGAGACCGCAAGACAGCACAGTAGGCTTCCTGGCTCATGGAGGAGGAGGCGGCAGTGGGCAGGCTGATGCACAGAGTGAGAGAGCGGGGGGCCGTCCAGCTGAGGCTGTCTGGTGGAGTGGGGGGCCTCTGGGCAGGTAGCAGTGGTGCTGAAGGGTTTGTAACACTTGCCTGAGCAGGGCAGAGGCTGGGTTGGCCCAGAAGGTCCAAGGGGCCAAGGGTCTGCGGAGCCAGGGGCCAAGAGTCCGAGGGCCAGGGAGAGGCATGGCTGTGGACATGGCCTAGAAGCTGTCTTCACTGAAGAACTATATCCTAAGTCTTTCCTGATCCTGAACTGTAACCTGGTACTTCCCTGGTAAGTCCCATAATCATGAATATTGTCTGTGAGTTCTGTGTGGCCATTGCAACAAATTATTGAACCCAGCAGAGAAGTAGAGTGTCGTGGGAGGGATGGCTGGTGTCAGAATTGCAATAAAGGTTGGGGTGGAGCTACGTTTGACCTCCACCTCATAGGAATCAGCCTGGGCTGGTATTCATCTTGATTCTCTCCCCGCCTTGTGAAGCCAGACCAGGAGGTCAGACACTGCCGTCACACCATTCATACAGGGAGGAAATGAATGAACGAATGGTAGGATCAGCCAAGGCTCTGTGATACCTCCAGTGGCCACCTTTCCCAAGTTGGACAGTTCTCATTATTAGTCATTCTCATTGTTTTAAGCAGATGTCAAGGAGCCCTGGCAGTGCAGTGGTTAAGTGCTTGTCTACTAAACGAAAGGTTGGTGGTTCAAACCTACCAGTGCTTGGTAGTAGAAAGATGTCGCAGTGGGCTTCTGTAAAATTACAGCGTTGGAAACCCAGTGGGACAGTTCCTCTCTCTCCTCTAGGGACGCTGTGTGTTGGAATAGATCACAGTGGGTTTGGTTTTGGCTTTGCTTGGTAAAGATTTACAGCTTTGGAAACCCCCTGGAGCAGTTCCACTCTGTCCTCTAGGGGCACTCTGAGTTGGAATTGATGCTATGGCATTGGACTTTAAACAGAAATCCTGTCTTTAACTTCATCTTACTTCAGTCATAGATATTACTTGACAGTCACTCAAATATTTGAGGATAGCAATAAAACTGCCTTTTAGTTTTCTCTTCTGTAGCCTAAGTATTCTGAGTTTTTGAAGCAGTTGCACACACATGGTGTGGCTTGCACAACCACCCCATCCCGGGCACTTCCATGTGTGCGTTCTGACTGACCAGGGTGCCCAGAATAGGTGCAAAGCTAAGGTGCAGTGAACAGGCAAGAGGAAGTCTGCTACATCTTCTGATCGGGGGGAAACCTTCATGTTTGCAGACTCCTGATGGTATTAGGCACTTATCTAAAGAGTTAACTCTGTTTACACTTCCTGGAAGGAAACACAATATTGCTCCCATGGTGACCATACAATAAGACAGAGCTTAGTGATTTTGTGGTCCAGGATACATCAACATGTTATAAACATTCTTCAAATTGACATCTCCTCCATCCTTGATGGAGGTCCATGCTTGAAGGCAAGGCCCTTGGTGGAAATAACAAAGGCAGAAAGGAAGTAGGAAAGCCGGGTGAGCTTGTTGGCATCACTGTCACCAGGAGAAGAAGGGATTTGGAAGTGGGAGAGCTAACAGGTCAAGTAGATGAGGGTGCATAAGCATGCATCAAAGAGCCATGGAGGCTCATTGGTTAAGGCGCTGGGCTGCTAACAGGAGGATGGGCCCACCACCAGCTGCTCCCTGGGAAAAAGACCTGGCAATGTGGTCCTTTGAAGATTTCAGCCTTGGAAACGCTGTGGGGCAGTGCCGCTCTGTCCTGAAGGGTCGCTATGGTCGGATTCGACACAATGACAGTGGGTGGTGGTGGAGAACAAGTGCAAAACCAGAGGCACTTCACAGATGGTGAGGTCTACCTAGGTGTAGCAGGATTGGGCTGGAACCTGGAGACGGAGCCAAGGCCACCAAGAGCAAAGGCCCGGGACACTTAAATCGCTGGGCACATTTTAAGGGGATTGTGGAGCCCAGGGAGTGTGCCCCAACGAGGCTGGGTACCAGGGTGCGTGAACCATAAGCAGGCTGCATGAGAACCGCGTGAGGATCCTCCTGGCTGTAAGCAAGGAAGCTGGGCGGTGTTCAAAAAGACCACTCGGATGGGTTGGGGCGGGGACTCGCCGGTGCGCACCACCCAAGGTCCTGTGGGGGCGCTGAGCGGTCCCTGCAGTTCCCCAACTATGCAAACCCCCAATGTGCCCGGAGCCGACAGGAGGAGCCCTGTGCGTGCGGGGCCGCTGCTTCGAGGCGCCCGGGGCTGGGCTTTGGGAGGGGTGGGTGGGTGAGGAGGCGAGGTGGGCGCTGCGCTGGGGCTGGCGACCGCGCTCAGGCCGGCTGCAGCGGCACACCCACCTCTCCTGCGCGCGTTTTCAACAGAAAGGATGCCTGGTGTTCCAGCGCCCCTCGCACCCTGCCTGAACTGCACCTCCCTCCTGGGGCATGGACCCCGGGATCCCAGGGATGGGAGGCTCTTAGCCCGCGGGATGAACTTCCGTTTACCCAACGGGAACACTCATGGCGCTTTCAGAAAAGGAGGCAGAAAGTTAAAAAATTGGGGGCTGGGGTGCAAAGTGACCCCGGCGAATTTTAGGGTCGGCCACTTGGGAACAAACAAAATCGGGGTCCGCGCTATGCCTACCTCCGCCGGAGGTGCAGAGACAGCGGCCGGGCCCCAAGGGGCCCGAGGCTGGGCGGGAACGGGGCCGGGGAGGTGGGGTGGTGGTGCCGCGGGCCCAGGGAGGAGGCGAGGAGTGCGGCGTGCGGGGCGCGAGGCCGAGAGCTGGGCCTCAGGGAACGAGACCCCAGTGGGGGACAGCGGGGCCGGGTGGAGAGGGACTGGACCGAGGAGGAGCGGGGCCGGGGGGAAACGGGGCCGCAGGGAACGGGGTCGGGGGCAGCGAGGCCGGGCGCGAGGGGAGCAGGGCCTGGGGGTAGCGGGGCCACCAGGCGCAGAGCCGGGGCGGAGGGGAGGAGCCAGTGTCGGAGGAGGACAGGGGCAGTGGGAGCGAGGCCGGGGGTCAGCAGGGCCAGGAGGCAGCGGGGCCGGGCCGGCATGGGGGCCGGCGACCCAGGAGCGCGGTCCACCGGCCGCCTGCTCGCGCGCCCTGGCCGAACGCCTCGGGCCCCAGAACAGCAGCGAGCGCGGCGTGCGCCCTCTCGGCGCGTCCCGCGGGACCCGGCGCGGCGCGGACTACAAGTCCCAGGAAGCCCAGAGCGGAGGGGCGGAGCTGGCGCAATTCCCCGGGATCCGGCGCGCTGGGAAGCCGCGGAGGACGCAGCGGTCCGTGGGCGGCG